CTCGGGACACACAGCTGGCACCCATCTGCTGAGTGACGTGTCCGCCTGCTCAGTGCAGGGAGATGGGGACATGGCACAGCACCTCATCCTCCAGGGGTTCATGGCCAGGAGGGACAGACAGAAGCACAGACAACTGCAACACGCATGAGTGGTGCAGGGTTGTTTCTTAACCAACATTCCAGCTTGTGGCCACCCCAAGGGGACAAAGGAGTGCTTTCCACAGAAGCCACCAACTGCTCGTGCTTAGAGCAGTGCAGGCTCTGGCTCCTCGCTGGGGCTCCAGGCAGAGAAGACTGTCAAGAAGGATGCCAGACAATGTTCACAGCAAACCTCCGCCACGAGGCAGGCACCGCAGGAGAGGACTCTCGTGAGAAACAAAAACCTTCGTTGAGGCTAAAGTTCATAACAGGGTGGAGGAAGGAACATTTCCCCCACAGAAGCTCGTCTCTCAAGCCAAGGCAGACAGCCAGACCCCGGGTCCAGGGCCTCCTCACAGCCAGACCCCGGGCCTCCTGACTGCCAGGCCCTGGGTCCCGGGCCTCCTGACTGCCAGGCCCCAGACTCTGGGCCTCCCTGGGCACTGGTTGGCTCACTGCAGAAGGACAGAAACACTGAGCCAGAGCTACAGTTAATGTGCACAGAAGTGCTTGTCTTCATTTCACATGATTTCCATGAAAGTCAGGAGAAGTTAAGTAGTAAAATATCATATGGACTCTTTTGGTGGATTAGGAAAAACACATTTATGTTAGCAATCTTCAATATGTCTGATTAGAAAAAATTAAATCATATACAACATTAAAAAAATCCCAATGAAGCAGCCACAACTGCTAAATCAAACAAGACTGACAATTCTAAAGGCACTGGCCTTCCCAAACCCCAACAGGCCTAAACGGGGCCGGCTGTCAGGTCCTCGCGTAGACGGAATCCTTGGGTTGTGAGACAACAAGGGTGAGCATTGGGAAGCCTTCCAGGCATGTGGCCGGGAACAAGTCCACCCTAAAAAGGGAAGCTACTAAATCAGTTCTCAGAAAGGCATTTGAGATGGAGAACAAAGCTTCCAAAGCCCAACTGTTTTTGTCAGAGAAATAAGGAACAAACTGTATTATCCACAAGATTATTCACTTTTTGTCGTTGTTATAAATGGCGAGCAGTGATTAGAACTTAGATTTTCTCTCAAGAGAACGAAAAGCAAGTGCTGAGGCGCTGCGTCCCAGCTCTGAGACACGAGCCCGGGAGGATTTTCCGTCTCAGAGACGCTGAGCCAACAGGCTGAGCATGCGGGCGGCACTGCTGTCACAGATGGTTCCAACACAGACACGAGGAGCCAGGACAGCTCGGCTCGAGCGTCAGAGGTCCCCACAGCACGACGCGGTGAGCGCAGGCAAACCCACACCGCTCGTGCTGTTCCCGAGACACTCCTAAAGACAGCAGCCACGGGAACGTGAGGAGATGGAATGCAGGACAACTCAGGAAAAGCTCAGAGAAAGGGAAATGAGAACACACATTTCAGCAAAGCACAGCAGGGAAGCCAGGCCACGTTTGTTAATACAACCAACCAGCTCGTCTCCATTTAAGCTTTATGCAACTTTGTGAGGTTATTTCTATATTCGAGGCAAAATAAATAAAATCAGACCCTCGGAGTTGTATGAGTTTTATGTATTTCTCAAGGGTGTTAATTTTGGGTGTGTGTGATGGGTGCTTGATAATCCTACCTGGGACCCATTAGCCCGCCCTTCGCACAGGCTGGCAGAGCAGAGCGGGGCCACCCGACACCTGCCCCAGATGGAGGGTTTTACCGCGCTTTACAACAAACGTCAGGACCGTAACCTCACTTTCAAAATCAATTCTACTCGTTAAAGTAGATACTCCTAGCCTCTCTACCTAAATGATGCACTATACAGTTCCACAGTAATCTTAAAATAGTGTTTCTTTGTAAGAACATGCATAAATATTGGTAGAAAAGAGCTGGTTACTTGTCTTAGGTGGAATCCAGGCCATATACTTAAGACTATCATTCAATTTTCCTATGGTTTAAGTCTCCTGACTGTAGTTTTATCAAAGGGAATACAAATCAATATGTTGTTATATAGGCAAAATGTATACTTTTAACTTTGTATTCATGTATCACGTTTTTATTAAATGTCAGAGATTAAAAAGCCTACCTATGCATGCCTCTCACCAAAGGAAAAAGATCGCTTATAATCTAGTTCACCTTCTGGAAACTCTTAGGAGGTTAGGGGCAGCTGAGCAGCTCTCCTCACGAAGTAAAATCTTTTCTGGGGATCTGGGGAAAGCCTGGGAACTCTGTGTGGCCAAGCCTCGCATGTGATTTCCAGCCAGTGGCACCGTAGGTCAGACAGGCACACAGAATCGGAAGGAAGGTCTGCCATGACAGGGCTCCAACCCTTCGGGCCAGTGGACAGGACACCAAAGAGCACAGCGCAAGGCCCCAGAGCCTGGCCGCCCTGGAGCCAACCCAGGGCTAACACTGTGGAGGCCACTGCTCCCACGCGGCAGCTCCACAAGACACGCCACCAGCGCCCACTGCCAGGGCACTCGGGAACCTCCTGGCCTCGGCGCGAGAAGGGTTAGTTGCTAACGTGGCAGAGGTCAATTTTGAACGATTAAAGGCTAAGCCTATAGAAACCTAACTTTAGGAAAGAGAATATCAACTTCACACTTAATCTATTTCAAATCTCATTTGTTTTCTTTTAGAATTAATTTGATATTGGAAGGAAAGGGAAATATCGTTTGAGCTACAGCATCTATGACATTTGCGAGAGAAAGCAAAGTCCAGTCTTGGCCCGAAACAGAGGTTGCATCCTGGCTTTCTTTTTACCACAGTATATTCACATAAGATTCACATCTTATTTAAAAAGCAGAGGAAAAAAAATGTCAATTCTGTGGTAAAAACTTCATGGGGCAAAATAAGTACTTGTACAAAAGTTGAGAAGTATTTTTATTGCAGATATTTTCATACACAATGTTAGTAAATCAACTTCCTTCCCCTCCCATGATGCAGCCACATTCCTATCTTATAAAGACATTCACGTAAAACCCTACATGTTTTCACGTTACTCTCTTTTTTAGTACCTGGGGGTTTGCTTTGGCTAGATTTTCTATTTTAACCCACGCTTCTTCTCGTTCTTTCATTTTTAGCTTCTCTCTGAAAAACAGTAAAATGTCATTGGTGTTACAGAGATGAATCAAATTCAAGAAAACATTAAGGGGATACTGACGTGGTTGCAACACAATCGCCTATTTTTCCTCTGTCGCTTTCTGGTCTTACTCCACATACTTCACAGTGGGGATCACAACGAACGTAACATGAGAAATAAAATGAAAAAAGCAACCAAGACTTGGAGTAAAAGATTAAAAAAAAAATGCTACAGTTTTAACATGCCTAAGAATTCCAGTTCTTAAAAACACTTATCCAAGTACATCTTATTTCTCCATCTTTATCCTGCTTTGTTGCTTCTGTACCAGCTTCCAGAGATGAATGAGAAGCTTACAGATCCATGAAAAGCCAGACTACACCACAGCTTAAAAGAACCAAGGTGAGAAGAGCTCATGTCCCAACACTGACACTAAAAAGGAACAGTCTTGGGGCCAGCCCCACGGCCGAGTGGTTAAAATTCGTGTTCTGCTTTGGGGGCCCAGGTTTGTGCGTTCGGATCCCAGGTGTGGACCTACTTCATTCATTAGCCACACTGTGGAGGCATCCCACATACAAAAAATAGAGGACTGGCATGGATGCTAGCTCAGGGCGAATCTTCTTCACCGAAAACAACAATAACAACAACAAAAAGTGTCTTCGAGCCAGGAGACCTGGATTCTTGTGGGATTCCACAGCTAATGAGTTGCATGACCTTCAATAAATCACTTAACTTGGACCCAACTTTTTTTTTCAAATCTAAAAAACGTGCTGCGTGATCTTTAAGGTCCCTTTCAGAAAGCCTTGATGTTCTCTGAAAGACAGTTTGCCATCATGAAAGCCCCAGTGTTCCTATACTTCATAGGTAAACAGTAGGTCAGCTGGGGAAAGCACGGACCAGCAGATTGAAGGTTTAGTTTCAAGAAAGCTTTGCCATATTCCCTCCGCCCCTTCCCTGCCTTCTCTCTCAGCGTCCCTCACACACTACGTCTCACTCATGTGTACTTCGCTGCCCTTCTCTTTCCACACTATGCAGAATACAAACCCCGGGAGGGCAAGGACTCTTGGTTTATTCACTGCCGTGTTGCCAGAACCTAAAACAGGTCTGGCCTATAGGCAGACACCCACATTTGTCTAAAGAATGACAGCTGGTTTTATAGATATCCTGTAACCTGAATCACACCCATCCAAAGTTTACCTACCTTAGCCAGCTTCAAGTGACAGGCAAAGAACAAAATCTGCCCACAGTCCACACTGGACTCTGAAGACGTGATTTTGAGAACTAATTGATCAGGTTATTACTAGCACAGCCTAGGGACAGAGGGCCTTGTCACAGCCTGTTCCTGCAGAGCTGCAGGCTCTCAAGTCCTCCAAGCACGAGAGCAGGGCCCTGATTCTGTAAGGGACACAGGGGCTGGACCCAGAGAACGCCACGTTTATGGAGATCGTCCAATTACAACATAAAGCCATGCTGAGATGGAGATTCTTGTGCTCTCATACAAACCTGACAGGATATAATTCAAATTCCTGCCTTATAAACCTGAAAAATTACTACACATTACAGCCTTTAAACATCCCCTGACAAAAGCAAAACTTCTGGAAGTGAACTTCTTGACTACACGTGCTTTTTGCGGAGGTGATTAAACTAGAAGTGTACTAGTGAACAGCTGTGAACACGTGTTCTCTGAGAATAAGCTACCATAACACAGTCTTGCTTTCCAAGGATGAAGGGACTGATTTTGCTTTAAAGTAAAGAGCAACTTTCAGGACAAACCAATGGGAGAGGTTTATTTAGGATCAAGGAAAAAAATCCTTGAAAGAGTAACTTTTGAAAGGAGCAACTTACTTCAGTTTCTCTGCTTTAAACTGTTGGGTGCAGTCATCAAAGAGCTTCTGGTTCATCTCCATGAAGAGCTTCAGCGCGTTGTATATCAAGCCATGTATTGTCCTATAAATAAGCGTCGTGTTCAAACTCAGAATACTCGATCTTTTTTATTGTTTCCCTCCCGTCCTCGGCCTCAGTCTCTCTCTTCTCCAAACTTACCAGGCTATTTCAACAGTCCCACATTTCACAAGTCTCCTAAGCTTTCAAATGAAAAGCCTGTTTCTTTTGATTCATTTGTCTGTCTCCCGAGAGCAGCCGCACAGCCTGCAGACCCTCCTCCAAAGCTCTCCCCTAAGTGCCGGCCCTTCGGCCTACTGTCCCGGCCGACAGCAGCCAAAGCCGCCCTACTCGGAAACTGAACAAAAAACGTTGAAACTTGAACAAATATAATCAAGACAAACTTCACTACATGGAGGAGAATAATGGAAACATTTTATTTCCTATAAACGTCAGTTTCCTTTCAATCTTATTCAGTGAGGACAGGAAAACTAATTTTAATAATGCCAAAGTAGCCCTTTGGACAGTAGGAAATAAAATTACCATAGAACAGCTTAACCAAACTTAGCTCCCAGGCTCTGACAAACACGAGGGGGGACGCCCAGCAGCTCTGCATCCCAGCCGGGCATTGAGACGACTCCAGTCCCAGCTGCCATCTGATGGCAGCCACGTAAGGGACCCCCGGTGAGAAGGGCAGAAAACTGCCCAGCACAGCCTGCTCAGCCCACAGAACCGTGAGCAATCACAAAAATCTGAGCTCTCAAATCATGCTACTTTTTAATTCACTTCATATTAACAACCAAACCACATTTAAAAAACACTTAGAAGAACACTTCTTCCTCTGCAGTGGGCAGGAACTCGGAGTCAGTCAGTAACCACTGCCGACTTTCACATCACACTCAACTCACACAGGAACGATGGCTGAACCCCGGGGCCTGTGCTACCACCTGCTGAACTTAATAAAAAAATGAACGTCACCAAGAAAAGGGTGTTGCAAAGTGACATACTAACAATGGTGCCTCGGCTACTGTACGACGACACGGCTGCCACTCTTCCTTCTGCCGCCATCAGCACCAGTGCCAGAGCCCTGGTCACGGGACTGAGGGCGAAGCTTTCCCGAATGCCTCTCAGGTGCCAGGGACTTTATCTGTATTAACTTTATCCCAATTAATCTTCACAACGAGGTGAAGGTCGCTGAAAAGTGCTTTATGTGTACAGACATTAACTGTCTTGACCAATCATCACAAAACTCTAAGGTGGGTGCCAACAGTTCTCTATCTTTCAGAAGAAACTGCCTGAGAGAGGTGGTGGGCAGCGGAGCCTGACCGTGAACCAGGGCAGCAGGAGGGGGCACCCAGACACTGCGGGCCAGAGCCGCCAACAAACTCTGCACCGCACTCAGGCTGCCGCTTCCCCCAGACTCGCTTTCCTGGCCTGTAAACAAGGGGGTAGGACCAGATCCCGTAGCTCTGCTCTTCCTGCTTTAAACTCTGATTTAATGATTATAACATAGGAAGAAAAAATAAAAGATGAAGCAAGCAAAACCCTGATACTGGTATTCAGGTAAATAACATGAGCACAGTCCAGTATGCCACAGTGATACGGCCGCAGCGACCGTTCCCCTGTAAGGTCTCAGAAGACAAGCGCTGAGTAACTTAGTCTGTTCCTCCTCATTAAGTGAAAGGACAGGGGAGGGAAGCAGCAGCACATGTCCGAGATCCCTCAGGTGGTGCTCAGACCACCCGCTCTTCTCTCTGGCTCTCCAGGCAGTGAGCACATAGGGTGGTCCATGTTCTCAAGGAAGGGGTCCCAGGGTGTGCGACAGACAGCAGGGCTCCAGGGTGACTGAGTTCCCACAGGGACTGAGCCCCACGAGTTCTGCAGTGACCTTCAACTCCTCTGGAGGGAACCGAACAAGAGTCCTGGAAGATGCTGCTGCAGACAGCCCCAGGGACAGGGCTGTGAACAAATACGCCTCTATGCGGGCTTGATACGGGGTGAGGAGGCAAAAGAAAGGCCACAGGGAAACCCATACTTCTACTTAATTAGGAATTGACATCCCGTTTTTTAACTGCTATTTCGGACTTGGATTTCAATTCTAATTGGTTTGAAGTATCAGCAAAATACGCAAAATTTACAAATGCAGAGATCCGACGAGGGCCAGTTCTTACTTGTTCCAGTGGGTCTTGGAGTTGCGGTACAAGGATGGAAACATGATGGGCAGAATCTTGGCTGCATTGTCACTGATTAAACTCATGATGTACTCATTATTCCAGTAATATAGGGCTCGCTCTGCCACCTGCAAGACAGGAGTGCACAACTGTGGTTTGCGACGATTAGAAACATTCAGAAGTCTTTCCTATTATACCTGTGAATAGGATAATAAATTATATTCGATTAGAAATCATCATTTCTGCAAATTCAGAATGCCCTAGACTGTAACCCTGAAGAGCCTTCAACAAAGAGGCAGACGATTCTTGTACATCAAGAACATTCACTCCTTCCTCCATTTACTCAGTAAACATTTATGCGAGATGCTGAGGACACAGTCAAATGAGTTCCTTCCATCCACTCGTCCATCCACTCGACACGTATCTCTTAGTTGCTACCCTGTGCATCGCACTGTTTGGCACTGAGGATTCAGCAGGGACGAGGCGAGGCCTTGAGGAGCCCACATTCTAGTGAGGAGACAAGTGACGGGTAAATTATCTGACCGTCAGAAGTGATAAGCCATGTGGCAAGGGGACGGGGAGTGCTGGGTGTGTGTGGAAACGTGGCTTCCATCTGAAATCGAGGGTCACAGAGCAGGTCTCTGGAGGAGGGGCCCGATGGAGGAGGAGAGGGTGTGAGGTGACAAGACTAACAGGGAGGGCAGCAGGGTGAGGAAAGGAGCACAGCGGAACGGGAGGAGCTGAGGGCACTGAAGTGGCTCAGGGCCCAATCGCGTTGGCCAGTTGTAACTGTTGGCAACATACACAAATGTCACGTGGGGCTATGCTGACACATCTTCCCTCTTCTGCTGGGTCACCAACTCCCTGGAGACCATGAGGTTTTGTCATTTTTTTGCCTTGTTCATGTTGTGTTCATACAAAAGGATGGAGTCCCTAGTCTATCAAATGGAGGCAGGCAGGCTGAAAAAGCCACTGGGGGCAACCTTTGAAAGAGCCTGAAGAGTTTAAGAAGGAGATCAGGAAAACAGACTGGAAAGTGAGTTGACTGAGGCACCCTCAAGCACAGGAAGTTGGTTGTGACAAAAACCAGAGCTGTCATTTTTTTTAAAGGGTAAAGGGAGATGAATTTACATGTGTCAGAAATGAAGATCTTAGAGAGGGAGATAATTTCAGATGGTTTTACCATCATATTATCTATAAATATTGATTACTCCGTTGTGGAAAATAAGGTTTTATGCATTTGGGAGCACTCTGAACAGAAAGACAAAGACAGTTTTACAGAGAAGCCAGATTTAATTACTCTCATTGAGAAACATGTTTTCAGTGATGAGGACAAAATGCTGAAGTATCTTAGCATCTTATTTGGAAGTATCATTATAGTAAAAACTTGAAGGTTACCTTCAAAGTACATGAGAAGCAAAACCTGCCCAGCTACACGCTGAGACCTAGCACCTCCAAAACAACTCTGGAGTGCCCCCACCCTCGCCATACCTGGAAGTGCGGGCTGGAGACACATTTGGCCAACTGCCGGAAGAGAGGCTCCATGATCTTCACAAATTCCGACGGTTCAATCACATCTAAAATCTCCTCTAATTCATTTAAGAACATGACTTCTTTTGGACTGTGAGTCTTTGGCCAGTATTTGAGGAGTGCCATTACCACCTAGAGAAGAAATGACACACAGTGTGATGCCCATGATGCCCCAACTTCTATGAATTAAGAAATTTGCTTTGTGCCAGCCCTGGTGGCTTAGTGGTCAAGTTCAGCGCACTTCACTTCAGCAGCCTGAGTTCAATTCCCAAGCGTGGACCTACACCACTCGTCAGTCAGTGGCCATGCTGTGGCGGTGGCCCACATACAAAATAGAGGAAGACTGGCAACAGATGTTAGCTCAGGGACAATCTTTCTCAGCAAAAAAAAAAAGGTCTGTTTTCTTGTTAAGGTGTCCTCGCTGCAAAGCAACAAAATAAGGTAGTGCTTTTTTCCTTGCAGAAGGAACACTGATTCAGTAAATTAGTACGTGGGTTTTTTTTTATAATTAGAGAAATAGGTCTAATTTTATATATTTAAGAATCACAATTTTAATTTATGTAACCCACTCTTGCTGATTAAACACCATTTCAGTAAGAGTCAGTTCCTTTAGAAAAAATAAGCAGTTAGGAGAGTCTAGAGAGAAAAAGACCAATGGAGGAACACAGAGCATATGTATTCATATATGTTTGAGTGTAGAAATGGCCAGTTCTGAAACTGTTGGTGACATATACACATATGCACAATCTGTTTCTTTCTCGAATTAAGTGACCATTCAGATTTATACACAAACATATAAACATTATGTGTGTATACATGGTACTTTCAGGTGCGCTAAAATATATCAGAGAGATGAGAGATAACCTGATGTTAGCTCATGTCACACGGGGCTGTGGGGGGACCTGGGCTCGGGCCCACACTGCTCAGCGTGCGTGACCTCGGGCTGGTTACCAGCCCCTCAGTGCCACAACAATCCCCACCCCTGGGGCTGTGATGACCTTATTATTAAATCCACACGACTGCCTGAACAGCGCTGGGCCCAAAGTGAGTGTGTGGCAGTGTGACCTTGGCGAGGACCCCACCCAGAGAGTGTCTGCGTGGCTCGGCATGGCTTCCTGATCTGTGGGTGCTGGAGGTTATGTTCCTCGCCCAAGTCAGACAGGCACCAAGTTTCCACCAGGCAACCTTTCTTCCTTTATCGTGTTCCTGCATCACAATCATACCAGTAAAGACTGTCCACCCAAAATATCAGATTTGACTCAATACAGATTAATAATATTTCTACACTTTAGCTACATTAAGTCTAAAACAGTACAACCTAAAACAGGCCCCTATGTATAAATATATATACACACTTGACACATTAATGTACAACTGCAAGCTATTACTTTAAAGCAGCTGTTTAGCCTCATCACAGAAACTTCTGGAACCTCCCTTGCAGCGCCTAGCATCAGGACTGCTGTGAAACTCACCACAGATGTTGGTTCTTGCAGACTGGCTGGTGGTTTCCACTCACTAGTCATTTCCAGCCCCACAGATCACACCAGCTCACTGCTTAGCAGGCCTGCCTTTTATTGACACCATGGTTAAAACAAGGTGGTCTTTAAACACCATCTACTTAGAAACCGTTTTGATGCTTTTGGCATTCAGGCTCCTGGATAATCTTTCATGATGTTGCACTTTATAAAACACTAAAATTTATAAAAAACAAAGCTCCTAGTTTTGAAATCTGACACACAAATTTACAAAACAATTGTCTTTAAAAGGAATTATTAAAAAAATGCATCATTTAATGATTTTCCTCCTTTTTGCTCAAAATCATTTAACAGACATTTATTGAGTACTTACTATACTCTGTGGGAACTAGTGTTCAGAATACAGACGCAAATCACTTCACAAATGCACTACTTCTGGGAATTTGTCAAATGGAATTTTATTAGGAGAAGTATGTTAATTCGTGAGCTATATGATACAATTGATTTAGCTATTTGATGTCTCCGGAAAAGGTATTATTTCTGGAACCAGAGCCTCACACTGTTTGGAACGACCATGATCAATACCCAACTGTTCCGGAGTGCAACAGCATTTTGCAGAAGCGGTGTCTGCTTGGGGAATGCTAATCCTGGGCAACAATGGCCGCTTGCTGCTGGGCACACTTCAGGCACAGAGCTTTCCTCTGGAAACTCAATGGGCTGCCCGCTCCCTGGAGAGGGTGGAGGAGGGCAGGAGAGCCTGGGCATGCATGCCAGCGGCTCTGGTTTGGTGTCCTGGGGAGTGTCCTGTCCTGGTACGCCAGGGAAAAAGAGTTCCCACCAGGCCATGAAGCAAAACTCGATTAGCCTGGAGACACAGGTGGGCAAAAATGCAACATGATGTTACTTCCGTACGTTACTGACGAACCTCTGTTCTTACAATAGTGCACGCGTTCACTGTGCGCCCAAGGCTTTGGAGCACTGTATACAGTTCACAAATGAAAAGTATCCATTACACGTTACAAATATCTTCTAAACAGGTCGCACTTTAAAAATGCCCCCTCGGCCCCACGTTGACTCCAGGAGCGCCCTGGGTGCAGGACTGGGAGACACGTGTGCTCCAAGTGTCCTTAGCTGCAAGCGTCACAAGAGTCTGCACTTTCATCTTATTATTGACAAGCTTTCCATGCTGAAGTAAGACCAAATGGCCTGTGTATTTTTATAAAATGTGAATTTCAAGGGAAGGAATTTACTGAGGCGAAGGTCTGAACGTTTTCAAGAAAATTAAATCTGCTTTCTATGGTTGACAGAGTACTATTCTATTATCTGTGCCGCAGGAAATTAAGAAATGAAGTGATTCTGGGTGGAAATACTGGGGTCTGGGTGTGTGGGGGCTTGGAGCGTCTCTGTGCTCGTGCCAAGGCAGAGTTTCCTCCCCACGACTTAAGAGGGAAGGCCCAGCCCAAGTCAGCACCGCAACTCAAAGTTTTCAGCCTTGCAAAGTTACACTAGCTCTACTAGTGGGAATTGGAAACATTCGTAACTTTACCAGCTCTCCCATCATTTTCAGGTGGAAGGGGGAACAGGGTGGACCCTGCTCACTGAGCCTGGCTGGGGCAGGATCAGGATTCCTGCTCTGGTGACATGGGCGGGGCCCCAGGCCGTGAGGGGTGCCGGGCGCGGGGAGCTTAGACTACGTAAACAGTGTCAGTCTAGCGAGCCCTTTAGCTGCTGGAGAGCGTCAGAAACACGCACAAAGAAAAATCATACGGGAAAACGGCACGCTTTTCCTCTCCTCCCACATTTTTCTTTCCCCTTTTATTTCTGAAGTAGGAAAAGGGCACAAGCGTGTGTTAGTATTTCTTCACACAGCACTTTCTCCAGTAAAAACTCTCACCCTTTACTTTGGAGAAGACCTTCAAATAGGAGGCATTAGGACGTGTCACCATTGGAGAAAAGATATTAATAACACAGCCTCACCCTGAACTGGAGTAAACGCTTTGTGTTTGATGTTGGAGTCTAATAAGATTCAACACATTTCGTCGGAGGCTTCCAGAATCTCACTCAGGGCTGAGGCTGAGGCGTGAGGAGACCCTGGGGAGGAGGGTGCAGGGAGAGGGCCCCCTGGAAGGGCCGGCAGAGCGGGGCAGCCCCGTCACCTCTGCAGCCAGCAGCAGAGGGACGGGATCCAGGGCTTTTCCTGAATTTGTGGGTGAGATGGGGGAGTCTACACAGAATTTAGAAGCTTAAAAGAAAGCAGAGATCAGAAGCCAGTTTAACGCAGGAGCACGGTATTAAGAATTTCTCAGGTATTTTCAGTATAAAAATTACAGTCTCACAAGAAAACTGTGAAAGACTGCTAATGGGACAGAAAAGACTCAGGAATTACAATATTTACCTTTTCTTTTCCAATGGTAACTTTATTTTTTTATTTTTCATTTTTGTCTGAGGAAGATTAGCCCTGAGCTAACATCTGTGCCAATCTTCCTCCACTTTTTATGCGGGATGCTGCCACAGCACGGCTGATGAGTGGTGTACGTCTGCACCCAGGATCCGAACCTCCGAACCCACACTGCTGAAGCAGGGTGCACTGACCTTAACCACTATGCCATGGGGCCGGCCCCCAATAGTAACTTTAAAGACAGTATTCAAACATTTAAACTGGCACCTAATACTTCTTACTTTGTTACTGAATAGTGAAAAACAACCCTACCAAAAAATGGGCAATGGATTTAAAGATTTCTCTAAAAAAGATACACAAGCAGCCAACACACACATGAAAAGATACTTAGGGAAAAGTAAATAAAAAAATCACAATGAGAGACCACTCCACACTCACTAGGATGACCATAATAAAACAAAAATGACAAGTGTTGGAGAGGATGGGGAGAGGCTGGAAGCTCTGTGCACTGTGGGAGGGAACGTAAAAAGCTGCAGCTGCCGTGGAAAACAGCGTGGCGGGTCCTCAAAAGGCTGAACACAGAGTCCCCACGTGAGCCAGCACTCCCATGTCTGGGTGCACAGCCCAAGGAGCTGGAAGCAGGGGCTTGAAGAGAGATCCGCACGCCCGTGCAGCATTATTCACAACAGCCACAATGTGGAAGCACCTCCAGTGTGCACTGTCAGCTGAACGGATAAACAAAAGGGGGCGCCTCCACACAATGGAGTACTAGTCGGCCACAGTAAGGAGTGAAGCTCTGATGCCACTACGGACGGCGAACGCTGAGGACGCCACGCTGACTGAAATAAGGCAGCTACCAAAGGACAAGTTCCGTATGACTACTTACGCGAGGTACTCAGAGCGGTCAAATTCACAGACAGAAAGTAGACTAGAGATGACCAGGCACTGGGAGGAGGAGAAGTGGGGCTTTACTATTTAATGGATACAGAGTTTGTTTGGGCCGTGAAAATGTACTAGAAATAGTGACAGTTGCACAACATTGTGAATGTAATTAATGCCACTGAACTGTACACCTAAAACAGCAAATTCTGTTATATATATGTAACCACAATTAAAAATGTTAATGTAATAGACAAAACCCCACTGAATTGCACATTTTAAAGGGGTGAGCTGTATGATATGTGAATTATATTTCAAAGCTGTTACAAAAGCGTACTTGAGAGGCCGCCCCGGGGCCGAGTGGTGAAGTTCGTGCTCCGCTTTGGCAGCCCAGGCTTCACCAGTTAGGATCCTGGGTGCGGACCCAGCACCACTCATCAAGCCACACTGAGGCGGCATCCCACACCACACAACTAGAGGGATCTCTAATTAGAATACACAAATAGGTACTGGGGGGAGTTGGGGAGAAGAAGAAAAAAAAAGTAAGATTGGCAACAGATGTTAGCTCATGGCTAATCTTAAAAAAAAAATTGTATTCGAACGCTTCAACTGGTACCTGACACACCCAACTTCGTTAATCTAGGCTACCATAGCCTTTTTATTTTTGATAAAAATAAAATGCAAACAAGTTTAGAAATCCAAACACTAAGCGGTATCAATCTAACATTCACTTATGACACAATGATCATAAAACAGTTACACTCTGACTGGCAAAGTTTTCAGGACAGTAAAACCTCTTTAGTACAAGCATCCTGACCCCTCACTACGATCCCTCTGACTGAAGTCAGTTACATGTTGTTAAACCAAGAGCCATGAAAGTATTAAACTGCACGCGATTCAGTGGCCACGACCGCTCAGGTGCCCTGCGTTCAGAGCGGTCAAGTGCAACGAGGGTAAGATGGCAATCTCATTATAGAAAATAATCACTGCGATAGAGGAACTTGTAATTAAAATGACTACACTTTGAAAACCTGTACCACACGAATGAAATCAGTCTGTTTATTAGTGTTGTAACAAGATGAAAAAGCTGTCTGAACAGTCTTTGGTGAAGCAGACATACTGTGATGTTTACATTGAGCAAAACACACACGTGACACTACAAGGCGTGCTGGCAACAGAACCGAGACCCCACCAGAGAGAGTCCACTTACTGGTTCAGTGAGGGTGCTGTCCTTTTCTAAAAACTGCACAACACAGTATGCCAGCTAAAATGTAAAAGGAGAAAGAGTGTTAACATTCCATTTTAACACAGAAGTGCTGCTGGGTTTCTTCCAATGTCACTGTTAAACAGCTTCCTCTGCTGAGATGAGGGCCTGACGTGACCAGATGCTGTCCCCTGGTGTGCCCCCTGGGCAGCGCGGGTCCCCCACAGGCCCTGCAGGAGGCTCTGAGTGGGACTCAGGGAGGGACCCCAGGATGAAAGCGCAACAAACCATTCTCCCCATCATGGCTGATGGCACATCAGAGAGCTAAAGCAGCCAGGACACAGTCTTCTAGCCCAACACCAACAAGGCAGCCCAGGTTTGCTGGAGATTTCCCTTGTGGTCTTTTTGGAGACTGTAACGAACAAGTAACCTAACAGCTGGGAAAAATCGAATTGAAATCTGGTTCCATCTTAAATCTCTGAACTATTCATTTCTTCTATAGGACAATTAACACCATAACAATATAACACATAACAACGTAAAGATATTACCAGTTAATAGTAACCAGAGAAAAAACTCTAAGTAAAATATTTCCCAGGAAGCCAAAGTCATTAGAATCATCTAAAAAGTATACTTCCTGTAATTTATCCCGTGCCGAAAACTCCCACAGCGAGGCCTGCGGGGTGGAGGTCCCTGGCTTCTTGAACACTCGCTGGCATGCCTGCCGGGTGCCAGGCCCTGGGAAGAGCCACGAGCGAGTGCGAGACTGCAGCTGAAGGGGGAAGCCCCCTCACCCCCGGCCCTTTGCTGCTGCAGTCAGCGGGGCTGAAGCGCCATCTACACGGAACTTACATCAATAAGAGAAGAAAAAACCCAAATCTCCTGGGTAAATGCAGCCAACTAGCCAACAATTAGTAACCACCTAAGGACCAATTTTTCAACATAACTGTAATTAGATTTTTGAAAAGTTTTAAAAATCTACAGCTTAAAAAGAAACCAAACAACTTTTTCATAGGCCATGGACATAGGGGCTTCCCCTTTGAGGTAACAGATTTTAAATTATACTACAGAAAACTCTCCTCTGAGACATCTTCCTGGACTTAAAACTAATTTTGAACTTCTCCATTCCTAAGATTTTTCTGATTTTCTTAAAAGAAATCTCTTTTTACCTCCTTATCCTTTCAATTATCACCAGAATCTTGATACCTAAGTCAATAGTGTGATATACAAAAGAAAATACTCCCAATTAAAAGGCTAGGATTCAATGGCTGGAGTTCAACGCTGTTCAGATGAAGAGAGCTGTGCTCCTGAGCACCTCCCCCCGTTCCCCCGACCCCGCCCCATCACTGCCGCCCCCTTACCTGTGGATGGTAGACACTCAGAGATTTCACTTTGTGCAAAGGCAGCAACACCTTCAATAAGAAAATCTTGTGCTCTTCTTTTAGTGGTAAGGCAAACCCGTTAATTATACTGTGAAAACAGAATTTATTCAAAGTTTGAATATTTAAAAATTCCAGATTTAAAAAAAAGATCTTGTTTTTCTTTCAGTTTTTGCTTTCAGCAGAAAAACCAGCAAGCAAAATATATGTTTCAGAAAAAGGAGGATTATCAGCAGAAATTAAAAAGAAAATTAAATATGTTCAAGGAAGCATAGTCATTTTTATCTTGCAACTACATGACAATTAAAATTCTGGGTTTATAGGGCGTTTCCCAGAACAGCAGCCGCCTCAGGGGGCAAAACCTCCTTCCTTAGACCACGAAGACTGGGCAGCCCGGCAGGACCCCCAGCTCCAGGGTTCCCCACACCCAGCATCTTCCCAGGGCCTTCAGCCACCTGAAGGAATTCCCACCTTCCCCGGGAAGTTCTGGCTCATCATTCGAATGATGGCAGAACAGAGTCCAGGTGTGCGGGAATGGGCATTGGTTAAAAATCAGCGTGAAAGCTGTTCCCTCTGCAAGGAGAGGTTCCTACTCTTAACCTCCAAACTTGAAGTGTTTGTCTGTAATAGCAAGTAGTTCATTTGTTTGGTTCTATCATTAGGCAAGTGCAGATAGACGTCACTGAGAGCTACAGAAGCGGTTAAAGCGATTTCTAGATCGGTCCGCCATCATCCATGAATCTCAGGCACTTGGGCACTGCAGGCAGTGTCAGTCTTAAGTGGCCATCGAGGATATGCTCATTCACGGCGGGGGCGGGGGGGGACCCTCAAGATCAAAGGCCTCTTCTAGGATCAAGCAACCAATCCTATTGGTGGGAGGAGCATGGAGGCCCTGTGCGCGCCATGTGGCAGGCTGTGCTGGACACTACACAGCTCACCCCATCCTCACAACCTAGGATGTGAGTATGTGTCTTCCCATTTTACAGACACAGAGGCAAAGAGTGGTTGAGTAAGGTCAGACAACTAGAAAGGGCACCCACTCAACCGCTCACAACACCCTGTTGAGAGAGGGACCCGCTGAGTGTGCTGGAACTAGTGAAAGGAGAATTCTCCACGAGGACTAACATTTTCTTTAAGTTATACCTAAAACAGCAGGGACGGTTTTTCTCGGAACTCTGGGCAGGACCGCAGCTCCACCAGATGACAACAGTGATCCTTGAGAAAAGCTTATTGTGCTCCAATAGTTTTGGGAATCACTAGACTAAACGAGAGCTCACAGGCTTCTCCCCCAACCCTTGGCTGCCCCTGGACACTAAATCCCCAAGACGGGCTCGGAGAAAAGGCACTCCCAAGCCTCTCTGGCCACAGAACCCTGAGGACTCTGATCAGGAAACAGCGGGATGGATGGCCTAACATAAAATCTATAGGTCATCGATTTAAAAAAAATCATTGATTTAAAAAAGTTCTAGCAAGCAAAAGCCTTACTTGGATTAAGATGATGAAATTTTTGAAATGTTAATTATTTTCTAAGTATACATAGGAATAATTTATAAAATCAAAGCAGTTTGAAATATTAGCATTTACCCAATCCCCCAAATGTACAATAAATAATCTATTCTTCTTCTGTCAAATATAAACCTTAATGTAACTATTTTTAACACTGCTCTTGAGGAAGGAATTGAGTTTCCATAGTAATGCTACTGAGGTATACACAACAGACTACATATGGAACCACACAAATGGGAGAGACTTGTTACATAGTGTGTTCTAATCCAAGAGCTCACCAACCCCTTCTATCAAGTGAGATCTTAGTTAAGTTCTTTTAGAAAATGGTTTAAATTGCTTTGCTTTGGGGAGAGGAATGGTTGAACTCAATGAACTGGATCACTCTGGCATAAATGCCATCTAAAGCCATTCACTACCAACAACAGAGACAACTTACCTTCCCAATATTTCCAGTAATTCTGCTATGCCATTGTGATGCTCTGTTTCATAAATAAACCTAGAAAAAGCAACGTGTCCTTTAGACTTAGACACTGAAATAACAGCTGGGAAAACTAAAATCCTCTGAATAAGAAAACAATGCTTTTGGGAGGAAAACCATGCAGCCAGGCAACAATAGGCACATCCATTTGTGAAGACCATCCCCGGGGCACTGCTCATTGTTGCCAACACAAAGCCTGGATGTGGGGACACCTGGAGGACAGAGCTCAGGCTTGCTTAAATTGTTCCCCAACATTTATTTTGAAAGTTTCAAACAAAAAGAAAAGTTGAAAGAATTTCACAAGGAGCACTGGTACTTCAATCACCCAGATTCAATGAGGCACAATTTGCTGTTTGCTTCAGCACACATACATTCACCTATCAATCCCTCTATCCATCCCTTAACCCATCTTATTTTTTCGCTGCATTTCAACAAAAGCGGGCTTCTGACTCAATTTTACGGCCTCCAACATAGCCCAGTCTCTGCAGAGGGGACAGCTCCTTCCTTACCACTTGGGCCGCCTTGCCGACCTCCCCACCCTACACCCTGCATTTCCTCTAGGCTGCATCAAGCGCCATCTGAGTCCGAGAAGCCTCGCCCGCTGGAACCACCGTGTATGCTTCCTGGGGCTCCTGCAGCACCTCCGGTACCCTGGGTTGGCCTGAGGTCAGGGACTCAGACTTTTCCTCACTGTGTCCCCGGTGCCAGGATCGAGCCTGGCATCCGTCTGATGCTTGAAACACATATGCTGAATAAACTGGGGACACTGAGACGGAACAGGGACACGAAACAGGAAAACATCTTCTCCCGCAAAAGATTCCTCAGAAATAACCTGCTCCTGCCCCACATCCTCGCTCACCTGGAGTGAGTCTAAACCGACATGAGCAGCGCACTCTGCCTGAAGTGAGGGAGGGGTCTGAGAGAGGCTCCTGCCTATGAGACGAAAGCTATTAGTCTAGAGACAACTCCAGGCCAAAAATAAGAGCTTGTGATGACTAAAAAATGTGACTCTGAAATTTTATTGTCATTGTTTGAAGCAAATGGAACAGTGACCTTTGGGTAAAGAAGAGGGCAAACACCCATAAGACACGATCTATTCCTGAAAGATGGGTCTTCATGTTTCCATATTCCCAAAGGACCAGAATTCACCGAGGGGCTGGGGCTCGAACTGGGCCCTGAAGGAGGATTTTGACAGATTTTTAAAAATGGGGGCATGGAGATGAGGCAAGAACTTGCTTGGCTGGAACAAAGGTCTGTAACACGGAGCAGGTGGCAGGCGTCGGGTGGGGAGGTGGGCAAGGCAGACATGCGGAGCGGCTCGACACTAGCCTAGACAGATTCAGACTCGAGCCCACAGGCATCAGGGTCAGAACCACTGAGCAGGGAGTCACTGTGACCGACATGGCAACCTGGCTGGTAGGAGCAGGGCGGTCGGGTATCTGGCACTGAAGCATCTGTGCTGCCACCACATACATCCATCACCCTGGCTGCTGCACCTGCCCAGGACTGAAGGCTGCTCTCAGCGCAAGTCACAGCCTCCGTGGGCTGCCCACACTGAGAAGCACTTTAATTTATGAAACTCAACCCCACGGCTCCCCTCTGCTTCGCTTGTTTTATTTGAAATACTTAAAACAGTTTAAATGTAGCAAGTTATACCTTTGTTTATAGTGCAACCAAGCAAGTGCAGTTAGGATTCCTCTCATGTATAACCTGGAGAGCTGGGCAAGCCGTGGGTGACACCAGGCTCCCGAAGACTGGGAGCGGAGGAGGGGCGGTCAGCTCTGTACTTCTGAAATAGATGCCCCTGATTCCACCAGCTTTAACATTTAAATAAGGATGGCTTTCAGCTCTAAGCCATTTTTGTTTTCCTAAATCAACATTACTATCTTCTAACTGATAAGTTCCTAATTTCTAATTCTTTTAACCTGATTTGAAGTAGGCATAAAAAGAGAAAGTCAGTCTAACTCTCTCTCTTACTTTTCCAGATGAGGTCACAGAGACCCACGGAGGGCGGGCTAGAGGGTTTCCTACTCTTTCAGCAAAAAGGAATTCGGGCTCTCCAAAAACCTCAGTGGAACCTGCTTGTCGCAGACAGTCTCCAAGATGGATGCCATCCACTCCTTTCCTCTCTGGAGAGGGTGTTCTGCACTTCACCCGAAGAGATGGAATCTCTTTCCCCTCCCTTTGAATCTGGGCTGTCCTGTGACTCGCTTTGACCAATACAAAGGGGAGCGGTCAGTCTGTAGCACTTCTGGACCAAGCCTTTAGACGACCGGCAGCCTCTGCTTCTGCCCTCCTGGAGGCCAGCTGTGGCTGTAAGAAGTCACACCTACCCGAGCCACTTGGACATTCCAGCCCTTGCAGACACCCTGTGGAGCACGCAGCCCAGTTTAATGAATTGTCAGAACAGCAAATTGTTGGTAAGCCACTGAGTTGTGGGTGGTTGTTATGCAGCAAAGAGGACGGAAGCCCTGCTCCTCCCTGTCACCTCACCTTCAGGTTCCGGTTTGCCAGATCAGGTATTATCAGTTATCTAGAGCTCTGTTTAACTCACATCTTAAAAATGCTGATTAGGATGAGAAACTACAGAAATAAATAGGAACTTTACATTAACATTTTCAATAAGTTGAACCAAACATGTTTGAACCATTCTTTTCCTCATAGGATACAGTTGTACCACACACAACTTCGATGGGCTGAATACATGTCTCAAGAGCTTTCTCCTTAATTTTTTCTCACACGAAACGAGGAGGGAAGGAAGTTGAAGGCGGGAACCCAAACCAAGTATGGAATCTACATATAAGCTCACTTTTGAGTGTATATATCAAGAATGGTAATTATAGAAAAGACTACTAAAAAACAAAACAAAAACATCATACCCTAGCATGGAGCTTCTAGTGAGAAGTGAACTAACCTATGTATAGTAACTTTTAAATAATCATCTGAGTGTTTCAGCTATTAAATTAAGCTTCTGTAAGGTATGGGACATTTTTTACTTCTTTAATGCAGGTGTTGATTTGTGATTCTGCTATCTGAACAAAACCTATGTGGCTAAGGGAAAAAATCCACTTTATGCAGAGCTTTAATTTTAGGCTTAAAAGACTGGAAGTTAAATTGTACCTATTCCTTGTTGTTTAAATAGTGTATACTATGTTTTGATAGATCAGTACATCAGTCAAATAATGGCCTTGTTAGAAAGGAAGTGTGACACCAAGAAATATAAAATAAGAACATCACATTTAGGAAACTTGATGTCATCCTCTGATTACAGTCGGAGCATCCAGCCCTGGGCTCCTTTATACAATTGGGATATGGGGAACCTGGAAGGAGTTCAAAGGAAAGCCACACAAACTGGAAGGCTCTAACACCGAGATATCGTATCAAGTGGGAAGACAACAGGGAGGAGTTGGACCCTGATGACCGCAGAAGGGCACACAAAGGAGACTTCAAGGTCTGGGTGGCACACCAGGGCCAGGCTGGCAACAGGAACAGGGAACTAGGGAACTGGTGCCTAATTCCCTGAGCGCTGCTTGTCTCAGCTGTGGGATCTTATTTCCCGTCTATCCATCTGTCTCTACTCCCCCTTTCTCCTCCCTTCTTGGCCATGGTGACTAAGAAGGGGCCCGCCTGGCTTCTGTGATGCTTTGGCCGACACCGCTGGACCACCCTCTCCAGGGGACGGCCTGCGCCGTCATCCTCACTCCGGCACTGCAGCTAGACTACGTGAAACCCGCCTGCTTTCTTATCTCACAGAGAGACACCCTTCACCGCTAGGATCTGTCACTGTCTTGAGCCATCCTGGAGTCAGGGGCCTTAGAGGTAAGCCATCCTGAGAAGCCAACATTCATACAATAAACTGCTCACTTAGTAAGCTTTCCAGGACAGTTAAGAAACAACATTAAATGCTTCATCCATCAGCATTTATTTAGTGCCACTTGGGCTGGGCACAGAACTGGCGTTGGAGATGTGCAAGAAAGCAGCCGACACAATGCCTGTCCTCAGAGGCAGACTGAGCCATCCTCCAAGCCAGGGAGGCTTTCTGGTGAGGGGATGTTTCTGGAAACCTGGGAGGTTGGAGAGCAGGGCTGGTGGAAAAGGACACTCCAGGAGGATCAAACAGGCGCCGAGATGCTGGGCATCTGCCGAGACGCCGGGCTCCAGGAAGGGGCCCGGAGTGTGAGCAGAGAGGCAGACTCCAAGGAAGGCCGGCCTAGGCCTGGGGCACCCCAGGGCCTCACCCAGGACTTGTACCTATTCGTCCAGAGGGCATCACTCATCTGAAACAAAGGGATGTCAGCGGGTCGGAGGGTGTTAAAACTGTAAGAATTGACGAGAGGTGGCACCTGGGATGGGGAGGAGGGGCGTGTGAGGGGTTGAGATCAAGTAATCCTACACTTGGAATGTTCCAGAACATGCTTTCATGAGCCATGGGGCTGTGCCCTCCTCTAGGCAAACCCAGACGGGACAACTATGGCAACCAGCCTCCCAGCCTGACCAGCCTCCACTGTCCTGCAGGCCTGGGGATGGCTGTGATGGATGGAGGCTGCCCTGCCTCCTGTGCTGCTCCCAGCAGGGCCTCCTTCTCTCTTGGTGCACAGGGGCGCCTCTCAACCTCAGATCTAAGTTTTTAGATCTTCTGAGACTTTCTAAAGATTGGCTGCTTCACTCCTCACTCCCTCCTTCTTTTACTGAGTTTCTACAGCGGAAGAATGAAGTAACGTGCTGGTGGAAGGAAACAGTTGGCTTCAGACAGATCAACAGCCAACCCCAGCCCAGCACAGAAACCAAGGTCAAGATGGGGCCCACCTGGACATGATGAGCAGGCTGCTCAGAAACAGCCACTACTGCTCCTTAGTCACCTGCCAAAGGAAACGATGAGCGGGGCGAGCATTAAGTTGAAAATGAACATCACCATGCAAAAAGAGAGGTGTCAGCCACACACCGACTTACCTATAAAATATATTATTTATCTGTTTTCTGATGTAAGCTCTTAAGCCTAAGAACTTGCCATAGATTCTGTGAAGGGTAGTTTTAAGAAAATCTCTCTCTCGAGGATCTTCACTGTCAAAGAGCTCTAAAAGCTTCAGGAAGAAAAAGACACTTAGTGATTTGGTGTTCTCTCTCCGTATAGTAGGGCTTTTGTAATTTCAGTTAGTTTGTACCTTACCTGCAATACAAACTTCTGATCAATATATTTCTTCGCTATATTAGGTTGGAAATCTGGAGACTCTAAAAATCTTAAGAAAAATTCATAAACAAGCTAGGAGGAAAAGAAAAAGAGTCAAATAACACGGCATTTTATTAAACGGAGATTAAAATACACTATTAGTTGAATCTTTTCTGCAAATATTAGCCTTTTAAAAAAAGCTACATACCTACAGAATCAATGCCAAATCACATGACAATTTAATTATAAGTGATGAGGGTAATTGTTTTATTTAGCTAAGAACCACAGACTAGCCCCTTAAATGGCATTTAAACAAAAATGATTTCCAGGGTGATGTCACCAACGCTAAAATCACGCTGCTCAGGGACCACAGTGCACAGCCAACACAAGCCAGGCTGTGACCAAATTCTGGGTGAGATGTGCAGCTGGTCACCTACAAGTGTCCTGGCAGGTGACAAGAACCGAGACTGCCAGGGGAGCAGATCACAGACACAGTCAGCTGCGGCCGGGACATCCCCCCTTCACGAGTGGGCTGCACGCTGTCATGGTTACGCTGTGGGAGAGCATGCTCGGCTCGAGAGAGAGCCCTCCTTTTCGTTTGCTCCCATCTAGTTCCTTCTCAGGTTTTCACCTCTCCATTTCCCCTCCTACGAGTGACCCACGCCTCCCAGTCCAGCATGCAGCACGTGCTCTGCTCACACTAGTTTCAGTGCCTTCTCTCAGGCGTCCCAGCCCACCTTTCTCCTGACAAATGTGTCTGAAAAAGGCAGGGGAGCTCTGGGGTGGAGGGTGGGCACACTGCATCTAAGGATCCACAACTGGGAGATGTCTGCTTAAGCCCTCCAGGCCTCAATTTGATGGCTGTCAACAAAGTGGTCATTCCACTGAAAACATATTGGCAATCCATATTTTTGTAGTTTGTGTCAAGTGGCCAAACAAACAAAAACCCATTAAATATTCTCTCTTCTGCTAAAATACTTCTCTTCTATGTGAGGTTTGCAAGGTCTATGTCACTAAAGGTCAGGGGCCCATTTGCAATCAGCTGGAGAGGCCCTAGGGCCAGAGTCCTTGCTTTAGAGAAAACCCTGCCCACACTCAACTGCAGCGCGCTCCCGGACTCAGTACCTGTAGATGAGGCCAGGCCGCTTCTAACGTTGGTTCGTCTTCCTCTGGGTCAAATTCTGCTCCCGTGGGGTTGGAGGAAGGTGGTAATGTTCGAAACATGTTAACTGCAAACTAAAATCCACATATTCTAGAATTATAACCAGGACATTAAAAATATTTACAGAGAACATTTAAAAAATCTTAAGTAATTCTAATGATAGCTGCTTCCCGTGTTATCTGGCTTGTAGTAATTCTCAAAATTCAGAAGCAGTACGGGTCCCCAACGAGATCCTGGGTCAAAACTGCCGCAGGACCATGGCTGCAGGCAGGTGACCACCGAGATCCCCACTTGACTCTGAGCTGTAATCTTTTGCAGACAAGCAGTGCTAACAGATGCTGACCGGCAGGGCTGGCGTCTAAGGCCTTCATTATATCCAGTAGGTGCGAAAGCAAGGAGGATGTTCCAAGTGCTGGTAAGAAAACGGTGAGGTCAGGGAGGAGACAGAGGAGAGGAAAGAAATGGAAACACCGTACTACAGAGATGACTTATGCGACTTCCACGCCAAGTGCTCTGCAGTCAGCAATGACGAGGACGGCACAATCGGGACAGACTGACCTCTGGGTGGGCAGCTAGAGGACCATTTCCAGAGAAAGGGCTGCATGTTAGCAAGGAGAAGCATTGTCACCGGAGGCCTGGCCATGTGCCCAGGGACTGGGCAGTCACAACTTCTCTTAGCCTGTCTGGCCTTACGAGGAGATAACTTAGGAAGAAGACATCTCTGGAGTTTGGATGATCCCCCCGGACGACCTGCTGCCCTTTTCTCTGATCCCCACCTTTATACTGCCCTTCACCCCTCCCCCAGCCCAGGCTCTGGTTAATTTCAGCTTCGTAAAAATCAGTGTGTTTGATAACAGATGTTTCCCACATAAAATCTAGAATTCTTTGGAGCACAGGTACATTTTCACGCCCACATGGTTAATACGAAAAGTTAGATCTCTAGGTAAAGCACAATATACACTGACAGATTTGCGATATAAAAAGTTTAGTTTTTCTGTATCATCAATGTATAACATTTTTCTTTTGTAGCAAGTTTAAGTATGATCTTTGAACCCACCATATGCCAGTTACAGAACTGGGCTGTGGGGAATGGCTCTCACAGATGATCCAAAAGAGCCCCTGTCCCACCACTCCCCTCGGCACAAACTCAAAACGCCCAACACACGAGATGAGATCTGACCCCATGATGACCAGAAGTATCTGCGGAGAGTCCAGGGCAAGCCCGGCTGTTCAGACTCGTCTCATAAGGACCGAGCTATGACTCAGTGTCACCCATTTTGTTTCTTCCTGTCTTTACTGTCATTGATATTGAGCTCCAAACCTTAACATCATTTTCATTAAGAGAAATATTCACTCAAGTCATCAGCTCTAAAAGCCCTGAGAATCAAATGTTTGTTCTCTGTATCGTCTAAGCTGATGTAGAGTAACTATAACATGACACACCGATGGCAGAGGAATGGAAAGTATGAAAAAAAAAAAAAAAAACGGCTGGAAATCCAGAATCAATTCATTAAAAAATCTTTTAGCAAAAATATGAGTAATGCTCATAAGACACAAGTAGCGGGAAAAAATGGTCTGATACCTGTGATCGGGGTATGTAGAGAGTCCTGGGAGAGGCCTCCCAGACAACGGTGGTTAACCAACAGGCAGACAGGGCATGTCCTCAGTCACTGGCTCCCAGACCCCCAGGGGACAGGCAGTGAGGGGTCTCCTCTTGGCACCCTGATTTCAAAGCCCACAGAAAAGGAGGAGACACGAAAAGCCCACCTGTCATCTCCTCCAGTGCTTGTGGGGGGCAGCAGAACCAGCTGTGCCCTCACCAGCCACTGCCCTGGGCTGTCACCTTCCTGGGCTGCCGAGGATCAGAGAGGAGAGAGTCACAACTGAGTCTGAGGTCTTTACGAGGAAAGCGGCATTCCTGAGCTGGGGTTTTCTAGCCTCTCCCTCAAAGCCAAATGATTGGGGGGCTTCAAGAGAGTCACCTAGAGACTGGAGGTGTCTTAAAGAGCAGGAGGCGAGCACCCTGTTCTCTGGTGGACCAGAGCCAGAGGTCCAGCATGGGCACGGCACCCCTGGGTGGCGGCGGTGTCTGTGCATACACACTGTGCTGGCCTCTCCTGGAGGCTTCAGAAGGCAGGAGACTTGCTGGAGCAGCCTGTGACATCGGGGTGCAGTGCACCCAGAAGGGACCGTGTGGGCCTGCTCCTGTGAGGTTCCTGTGGCTGTACTCGAGGAACACAGAGGTCCAAGGGGAGAGGGGGGCGGTGGAGCTGCCCAGGAACTGCCAAGGGAGCGGTCAGTTTGCCCACCGAGGGGGTGGAGGTTTGGACGGAAGGGGAGACGGCTGCTCCCCTGGGAAGGGGTCTTTAGTGATGCTGAAAACTCTCTAGAGCACAGATGTCCCAGACAGGAGGGAAACGCCACACCAGCAGAGGCTAGGGCAGCAGATACAAGGCAGCTGCCCTCCCCACTGCTCAGGGCCCAGGCCGGCCCCTTTAGCGCCTCTCCTACTTTAGGTCCCTCACCGGCCAGGCTGCCCAAGGGGAGGGGCGCACATGAGGTTCTGAGCCTGGGGTTAAGGTGCTGAACCAGGTGGGATGGCTATAACCAGAGATGACCAACAAGGGGCAGGAAAAGAAGATTCAACACCTAGTGGTTGAAAAAAGTAAAACGCGGCCCAGTGTGATGGCTGGTCTCAGGGTACCCCGTCACTCAATCAAACAGGAACCCGGTGTCACTGTGAAGACATCCTGTAGTTGTGCTTACATCTACAATCGGGTGACAGCAAGCCAAGGAGATAACCCTCGAGAATGGAGGTGGGCCTCACGCGATCAGTGAAAAGTCTTAAGAGCAAACTGCGGTTTCTGTGAGGAAGAACCCACTGTGGACGGCAGCGTGGGCTCCGGCCCGATGGAGGTCAGACTTGCCCCGCCGCACTCCACAAGGCATGACAGTTCCTCAAAATCATGTCTCCCTCTCTCTCTGTGTCTCTCTTTCTCTATTGCCTCTCTCTGTCCCACTGGTTCTGCTTCTCTGGTAGAACTCTAACCAATACACCAGCTTAGGTGAGACTCCTTAGTAACCTGGCTGTATTCTACCAGCAGTGAAGCTAATGCCTCTAGTTTCAGCCCTGTCGCAGTGTTCCCTCAGCCACAGACCATCCTCAACACCTGCGCATGCGCCTAGTCCTAGATGCTGAGCTAGGAGTCTGCAAGGGGACACAGACCCATCTGCTTTTAATGCAAACGTTCCCCTTTTCAGTATCCTGGGAGGATGGCCATCCTAGATCCAGGAAGTTTTATTATCGGCCAACTCTAATTGATAAAAACATTTCTTTCAAGCAGGAAAAAAAAATCTCGTGCTGTAATTTCTACCCACCTTTCCTATCACATTACACTGCATTAATTTAATGCTCATCTCTAGAAAAGCTTAAATATACTAAAAACTAATATTTAGATAAAAGAGCACAAGGCATACAGCAGGCCACCTCAAATTATTCTTGGGTTTCTAGCCTAGCAACATTTCTCAGTGTAAAAGCTTCAGGGGTCAAATTAGCTGAGCATTGTGGTGCGGAGGTCCGCGTGCTCGGAGGGAGCGCCGTGCTGTCCAGGCGCGGCATTCACTCAGAGAACCACAGATGGTGATCTTCATCAGCATCCTGCCACGGAGACCAAAGGGAATCTTCTTTCTACTGTAGGTCTGACAGGGGTCACACAGATCCATTATAACCTCTCAGCGGAATACTCTGATTCAGAGTGCACACCAAGGCATGGACAGAGCCCAAATCAGCCCACGCAGAGAGGCAGCAGGGCCTAGAGGGGCCAGCCTTCCCTGACCCTCCGCCTACCTAGAAGCAGGACTTTGGACTGAGAAAGCTGCCCAAGCCTCGGTTTTCCCTCTGTTGAAAGAGGGTAGATCCCTTCTTCGCACTGGGCACGTGTGAAATGGAAAGCACTACAGTAAACAGTCTTCAGACATGTGTGCGGGCACGCACGAGGCCCACACAGCCGCCGGTGTGGTGCGGACTGACTCTGTGACATCAGGAAGACGTGCTTCTACAGCTTTCTTGACACTTCAGCTTTCAGTACTTAAGTCAGCCCTGCAGATGTTCTTCTCCGAACTGCTAAATTTACTGAAGTAGATGTGAACCAAAATGGCTCAAGAAGCAACTTTACGGAAAATCCTTACAATTCAGCAATATCACTCAGCCGGTTCCATCCCTGTAACATCCATTACCAATGGGCGAGGCAATAAAACATTCATGCCGCGGCCTCACTGTAGACAGTGTAATACATGAAGGTTTGAAATACGCAGGGATACACGCCAAAGAACACTGATAATCTAATTTCAGAGACGACGAGGAAAAAAAGGTTGATTATTCAGTTCTCTGTTCAAAACCACAAGGTTATTCTACTTTGTTATTTATTGTTTTATTCATGTGAACGAGATTTATGAAGGTGAGTCCACCAAAGGCCAAGCTACAGTTCTTCCAGACACACTTCCTCTTGTAATAGAAATACTAGGACCTGAGAGCCATAGTCTAAGAGATGCATTTTTGGAGAGGGAGAGCTCATTCACATTATTTTTAGTTTTAGTTTTTGGTGAGGAAGATTGTCTCTGAGCTAACATCTGTCTCAATCTTCCTCTATTTTGTATGTGGGACGCTGCCACAGCGTGGCTTGATGAGCAGTGCTAGGTCCACACCAGGGATCCGAACCTGCAAACCCCAGGCTGCTGAAGTGGACTGTGTGAATGCAACCACTACGCAACTGGGCTGGCCCTACACATTACTTTACTAAATAGAAAATTGCTATTTGTTAGCAAATGATACAATCTATCTGCAAAAACCAACAGACACCACAGAGAGGCCATCACAGCTAGGCCACCAATACAAAAACCAAAAATACAAAACTAACAGCAACATCTCTCCACCAATGACAAGCAACTAGGCAACCAACTGACAGGAGAAGTCACACACAGCTGCAAAAATAACCCTGGGCCTAGGGCCCCACACCCCAGGTACAGGCCTCGAGGAGAGCATAAACACCTGATAAAGGGCACTGAGGAATTCCTG